CGAGGGGGGAGGAGGGAACAAGGCTGGAGGGAGTCTGAGCTCAAGTGGCAGAGAAGCCCTAGGAGGGAGGAAGGTGGGGACGGGGGTGGGGGGTGGGGAGGGATGCTGTGCAGCCCACTGTCCCAGGGAAAGAGGAGAGGAGGTCCCCTGCTGAGGGCAAGGGCTTGGGGGAAATGGAACTCACTTACAGAAACCCTCTGGGACAGAGTGGGAGCCCTAGTGGCATAGTGGTGGTGTGTTGGGCTACAACCCACAAGGTCCACAGTTCAAAACCACTAGCTGTTCCTCTGGACAATGGCAGGGGCTTTCTACTCCTGTAAGAGATCCGGTCTTGGGAAACCCATAGGAGTGGTTCTACCCCGTCCTATAGGATTGCCATGAGTCAGTACGGACTCGATGGCAGGGAGTAAGGACTGTCGCTTGTGGGTTACTGAGACTTTTACAGCTTTCTGGGAGCAGGAAGCCTCATCTTTCTCCCGTGGAGTGGCTGGCGGATTTGAATAGCCGACCTTGGGGTTAGCAGCTCTGTGCATAGAGACCACCAGGGCTCCTTGGAAAAACGGCAGTGGTCTCTGATGGCAACTTGACCAGGACCCTGGGGGATGACAAAACTGTAAGCCAAGTTGAGGCTGGAGACCTTGATACTGGGAGGCGCCCTGGCAGCCTGCGCTGTGGCCCGGAAGAGGGCACACTGGTGGGCAGCAGGCTGTGGGCTCTGCTAGGCTGGGGTGTCAGGCCACAGGGGCCTGGGGAAGTCAAGGAGTATGACCAAGAGGGGCCATTCCACCTGTGCTTCCGGGCTTACCTGCCTCAGGTGTCATGCGTGAGAACTGCAGCCACACGCAAGAGGTTGTGAAGGATGAGGACAAACGCGGGCCCCACCCCCACCCCCCACCCCCCGCCCCAGCCTAAGGCAGGAGCCAGGAGACCAGGCTCTGTGCTCTGCTCTCTGGCTGTGGGACTCAGAGCCAGTTCCTTCCACTCTGGGCTAGTGGGCTATTTAGAATAGATGCTTCAGAAGGTCTCTTCTAGCACCAAATGCCACAGGCAGCTAGCTCACCGGCCACAAAAGCTGGGCACTTTCGTGCTGAGGCCTCTGTGGTCTCCCTGATTTGTAAAGCCGGTATGTGAGCACCAAGTCGGATGTTGTTGTCTTCCAGTGGGTTAGGCCTCAGGGCGAGCACGCGTGTTACAAAGTAGATCGTTACAGAATGGAGCCCTCATGGCGCGCTGGTCAGGTGTTGGCCTGCTAACTGCCAGGTTGGAGGTTCAAGCCCATCAGCTCTGCAGGAAGGAGACAAGGCTGACTGCTCCCAGTCAAGATGTGTTAGGTAGCTAGAGACAGGGACCGGGGGTGTCTCTCTCCATGCCTGGAATTCCTCCCTTCAGGAGGCTGGAAGAGACTGAGGTGAGGCTCAGCCGACCAATAAAGGCTAAGGGGCATGCGCCAATTCAAGCCAGAGCCAGGTGGGCGGTACACCTAGGTGGGCCCAAACTAGGCCAGGTGGGCCAATGGGGTCCCACCAGTACCATCAACCACACCTCCCAGATGCAGGTCCTAAATACCTGGATCTTGGGACCATGGGCCCTTGGGCTGCTTCTCTTGGCCTCAGGCCACCACATGCGGGTGTGAAGTCCCACGAGGGTGCCCGTGTTCAGTGACTAAAACCTGAAACTTCTCCCGTCCTTGATAAAAACTCACTTAGATCACAAACCAGGCTTTGGCGTGAATTCTTTCTCGTGCAAAGTCAAGAACCGAGGTATTTCCTACAGAGAAACCTAACAGATGTACCATGGGGACTGTCTCAGCGGCAGTCGGCTACCTTCACGGAAGCAGATCACCAGACCAGTGGGTTAGAACTGCCAACCTCTGGGTCAGCGGCCCTGACTGTGACACCTGGGAACCCAATCTGTCTATATCTATAACAACAGTAGCCTTAAGAGGACAAGGCGTTTGGAACCAGATTCAACTAAGTCAACGCTTTCGGAAGAGCTGCTGGTACTGCAGTTGTCTTGTACCGTTTCAGAAAAGGTTGGGAAATTTGGGGAAACCCCAGGAAATGCTGCAGGAGCCAAGAAAAGCCGTGTGCGGGGAGCCCCCCCTTGCCCGCCCCCCCTTTCTGCGCTGCGTGTGGCGTGTTGTGGCCCTGGCTTCCCTCCTGGGCCTGGGCTTCCTTCCTCCAGGAAGCCCTCTGCTGTGCTCCATGGGAGGCAAATACCCTTCCCTCCCGGCTTCCCATTTACAGGGCTGCAGGCCAAATCTAGAGCCTCGGCCTGCCGGCACTTCATGTACACGTTCACCGGTGGAGGATTCAGGCAGAGGTCCAGTCAGAAGCACACGGAACGGAACGACTAAGTGAGGCCACAGGACGTTCGTGATGGGGGATGGGGTGGGGGTGCATATCCCCTCCCCTCGGAATTCACCCACAGCGTGGGACACCCCCGCAGCAGCAATACACTCACACGGTACAGATGTGGACAAGGTGCCGGGCCTGGATTCTTGGCCGCTTCCCCCTTCTCGCTCTCACACATTTGAAAAGGGTCGTCTAACACAGGCTCGGGTCCTGGAGGCGGGAAAGGCTTCCTGGGGAACAGCAGGGGTGCCCCAAGAGGCTGCACTACCGCCTGTCACCACAAGAGGGCAGCGACACAGTGGCTTCCTGGGTGCTCAGAGGTGGTGGAGGGCTGGTGAAAACGTGGGTCTCGGGAATTAAGGATTTCCAGGCCGCGATAGCTCGGGAATCAACGCAAACACACGACCCTTCTGAACACGGGGCCTTGTAGCGTGAGGCCAGGGCTGCAAGGGCGAAGCCCAGCCTTCAACCTGGAGGGAACCTCCCAGTCAGAGGAGGCGCCCGGGCCAGTGCCTGCACGTGCCTGTCACTTGGCATCCTCTCGTCCCTGTGTCCTTCCCTGTCCTGTCTCCAGTGTCATGGTGACCGTACGCATGATACTGGGAGGAAATTACTTTTTCTAGAAAGTCACTGGGGCGAAGTTTCTGCAAAAAATAAAGGGGTCCGGTTTCATAATTGTTAGGCAATTTATCTTGGGGAGCTGGGGCAGACCCTCCAGGAAATAAGCCCCACACCGCGCACCTAGCCTTCCCTGAGGCAGCTCCTCGCTTCTAAAAGATCCGACAACCCTTTGTTTTTCTATTCAAAGCAGTCAGCAGGTTCCAATATACTTAGACACCTGCCAGAGGAGAAGGAGCCTTGGTGGCATAGTGGGTTATGTGTTGGTCTGCTCACCAGAAGGTCAGCAGTTCAAAACCACCAGCCCCTCCTTAGGAGAAAAGAGAGGCTTTCTACTCCCATAAAGAGTTATTGGTTTGGCAAACCACAGGTGCAGTTCTACATGGTTGAGCTGGCAGAGACGTGACGGCCATGAGTCTGGCTGTTCACATTCTTGCCAAGGATTAAAAGTCCCTGTGGGCGCGAGCCTGGGGCTGGGTGGGAGAGGGCTGGTGGGAGTCTGAGGCTGACCTGCTGGATGACCCTAGGACCCGTTCCTGCTGAACTAGTGGGTCTGTGGCTCACTGTGGGATCTATGCCAACTCAGGAGGCCCTGCCCGAATGTGCAGGGCAGAATGGCACCCCATGGGCTTTCCAAGGCTGGGACCTTGTGTAAGCAGATGGTCAGGCCTCGCTCCTAAGTTGCCGCTCACCACCAACCTTCTGGCTAATAGCAGTGGTGCTTAACTGTTTGTGAGCCCAGGGACCCACCACCACCATCCACACCCTTACCATTCATTCACCTTCAGAAAATCCGTTTGTAAGACACACTATGCTAATGAGAAGTTAATGGTGGGGGGGCAGGCATTCTGTCTACTACACACACTAAGGAGGCGGCAGAGGCCAGGGTCACGTGCCTAAATGAGGGGCGGCCAATGTCCACAGGAACACCATGTGGTCACGCAGTAGTGAAGCACTTGGCTGCTGAGCCACCCAATGGCTCTGGCCAAAACCAACCAACCAAAATACCGCAGACCCACCACTATTGAGTCCATTCTGACTCAGACACCTTAAAGGTTACAGCCTAGCAAATCCAACAAGGGCCGTTCTGCTTGGTCACGTGGGGTCACTATGAGTGGACAACTGGCATGGCAGCACCTAGGTGTCACACAGCCCACGTGCCCTCCCCTGTTGCCTTTGCGTGGATTTCTGACTCACAGTGACCCCACAGCGCCGAGAAGGGACCCACAGGGTTCCCGAGGCTGGGTGAATCTTGACAGAAGCAGGCTGACAGCCCCATCTTTCCCACCGAGCAGCTGGCTTGCCAGCACTGACCACCTTTCAGTTAGCAGGCAAGGGCTTTGCCTCTATGCCACCCTCTATCCTGGGCATGGGGGCTGGGGGGGGGGGAGGGCCAGAGGGAGCTAATGTCAGGTGAAGTATCACCAAGTTCCCTTGGGTATTCAGCACGTTCCCTGCATGCACAGCGGTTTTCTCCCAGACTCTTCCCTGGTGAGACTTGGCAGATAAAGGGAGTGCCGCCCCCATCCAAGAACCTCTGGTGGCTTAGTGGTTATGCCCTGGGCTGCAATCCGAATGGTTGGTAGTTTGAAACCACAGCAGCTCCATGGGAGATGTCTCAGGGGCCCACGGGAGGTGGGGGGTGTTACCCACTAGGAGTCAACATTGACTCGACGGCAGTTTTTTCGTTTGCCACTTCACCCACCACTGGTGGGCTCTGTGCCCTTCAGAAAGCCCCTGGTCCCTGGGGATCTCCTGTCTCCCCAGCATACAGAGAGGAGCTTGGGTGGAACCTTCAAGAGCACGTCAGTCCTAAAATACATACGAATGCCCTGAGTTCCCAGTAAATGTCCCAGAGGAGGCTGTCTGGCAGTGACAGGTATTTTCAGAGGAAAGAAAGGGCCTCTGGGGACAGAGGTGAACTTCTGGGCTCTTCTCCTTCTGCTGCTGCTGCTCAGGAGGAACCCGTGGGAACTCAGGCCATTATGCAAGAGATGTCTCCGTTAGCTCAATGGCCCCAGCACCTACCCTTCTCTTTGGTAATCTTCGTCCAGGTTTGACAAGAGCTGCGAGCCCTCCGTGGAGAGGTCCACGGCGGCCAGGGGCAAGTCTCGATAGGCAAAGTTCCCCAGCTGCACGGGAGCAGCGCTCTTGGTTTCTTCCTCGACTTGCTGGGAGATGATTTCCACTTCCGAAATTCCTCCTCCTAGGGCAGGCCTGAAAAGGGCAGGAGGGCGACAGGGAAGGGTCAGGTCAAGAACAAGATCAAGGGTCCTGCCCTCGGGGAGAGGGGGGAGGACCAGAGGACCCTGTGGCAGGCTGTGCGGGAGGAGAGCTGGGCGAGCTGTGAATTTGCTATTCGCCCAACCTTCCCACCGCCTTCACCTTTCGGAGAGAAAGCTAGAGAACTGCTCAGATCGGGAAATAGGAGCTTTGGGGGGCTGGCTCTCCCAAGTCTCTGACGGCAATTCTGCCAGCCAGGAAAACCGGAGCTAACACTTTGAGGACAGATATCCTGGGCCCTTGAACATTATATTGCTCGAGTTCATTGATCGTTTTGAAACACAGCTTCCTGGGCTTCCTTGTCAAGGTTCTTTGCAAAGTCTACACCGCAGTAGAGGAAGGAGGTTTTGGTTCACAACTAGATGCGCGCGTGGTGGTTGGGGAGCCTGCCTGGAAACTCGGGGGTGGGATGGGGGTGCTGAGGGGGCAGTGAGGACAGAAAAGACTGGCTGGGCTTGGCTGTTGCTCCTTTCCACCTGTCCCCCCTGCATCTGCCTTTGGGGAGGAGGGAACGGCCAGTTGAGCAAATGTCTTCGATGCTGTGAGTTTTCTACTAGCAACGCTCACCCAGGGCAGCTCCTGCCCTTGACCACTCCGCCGAAGGGTTTCCCAGTCAGAGGCAGTACCGCCTCCCAACTGCCAAACCAGACCCAAAACCAAACCAGCACCCGGCCCATCAAGCCTGACTCATGGTGACTGCGATAGGTAGGTTTATTGTGCCAACCTGGCCAATACGAACATGTGGGATTCATCAGGTCGCAGTTTGATTGAAGGACAAAGAGATAAATGACTCTGGAAGACACCCCCACCAACACACACACACACACACTTGCTCTCTGGTGATCGGAGCCTGCTGGAGCGTGCATGCTGCTGCCATTGCAGCTAGTTCTCTGCCTCAACCTGTGAGCTACACCACCTGTGGGCCAAGCCCATCCGTGGATCATGTCGCTAGAGCTTGAGGCTCCTTCGAGACCTGCTTCACCTTGCTGCTGATGCATAGGTCACCTGGGCCTGAGGCTGGTGGATCCGGTCGCCTTGTGTTGCTTGTGTGTGTTATCCCATCCGGGCCAGCTTCGCTAAGCTCCTGAGCTACTGACTGTTGGTGACCCACCCTGCTGCCTGCGGGCAGACCCTGCTTTCTCTATACAGTGAACCCTCGCCACTTCGCGCTTCGACTTCCGCGGCTTCACTCTATCACGGTTTTTGCGTAACAGCGCATGCTCTGTCATTACTGCCACTGATTGGCTCATACTGTACACGCTTCTGTCTGCATCGCTACGTATCAGAGCTACGTATCAGATGCATTTTTGCTTTTGTACAGTGTACTGTAATTGTTTGCGATTTTTAAGAAATTTTATCTAAGCCCTATGATGGCTCCTAAATGAGCTGCTTCTTCTAAGCCTTCTGACAATAAAAATAAGCGCCAGAGGAAGATGCTCACCATCCAGGAAAAGGTAAAACTTTTGGATATAAGGAATCCTACTTCGCGGAATTTCATTTATCACGGTAGGGTCTAGAACCGATTAACCGCGATAAACGAGGGTTCACTGTATATTAAATCCTAAGTGTCCTGGTTTTGTTTCTCTAGAGAACCCTGCCTAACACAGGGATCCCACGTGTGCAGGGTAGAACTGCCCCATAGGGTTGGCATGGCTGCGGCCTTTGGAAGAGAGCTTTGGAAGAGAGCATTCTTATGAGAGGCCTACAGGTGGGTGGGCTGGAATAGCCGCACCTTTCACTTTGTTGTAGGGGGCAAGTGGTGCTCAGTCCAGGGACCGCTCAACCCACCAGGGGCTCTTTGCCAATTTGTGGAGCATATGTGGTCCCCACAATGACCACGGGTCACTCTTGGCTTTTCAATCAGGGCACAGGACACATCCTACAATGTGTCCAGCAACTAAGAGCCATTCTGCCAAGAGCTGCTGATCACTGGGGCGCCCCCTTCAGTCTCTTCTGGACCCCGGTTTCTCTATAGCACCGGAGGGGGTGCATCTTGTGTCTCTGGCCAAACAACGGAGGTTTGGAAGAAAAAGACAGGGTGAGTGGGGAGGAGAACAATCAACTGTTGCAGGGCGAGGGGAGGGCCCAGGGTAAGGAGAAACCAGGTGGGATGCTGAGGTGGCCGCCCTGTCCGCTGTCCGCTGTCCGCTGGACCACAGGCCCTGGCTCACAAGCTGGATATGATTGCTTCTCTGTTGCTTGAGTCATCCAGATAATGGAAGGGAAAGGGAACGCTTTTTTCTCCCCTTTTTCATTTGAACACCGCAGGCCTCAACCACCTGAATTCCCAAGTCATTTCCCATGGCCCGTTTCTCTTCTGTCAACCTTTGCTTTCTTGCTACCTGTCAGGCACAGCGAAGAGCCCTCATCACTGCGTGACATTTACAGAATGACTCCAGATCTTTGGACGCCACAGTCACCAGATGCGAGGCTTCTGTGTTTCTCCACAATTGCAATAAAAGTGTGGGTGTGTATGGGGGGATTCCAACTCCTCCAGGTGTTTCCCCCAAAGCAGAGGCGGGGTTAAATTGGCGTTCTCGCTCCTTTTTCTTCTTTTACCCCCAGACGACTCGTTGAACAAACTGTGGGTTGGTGAACTGAACAAATACGAGCCTTTGTGGCCAATGGGGTGTCTGTGGGGGGCGAGGGCATGGTTCTGAGATTGTAGGACATGGCTCCAGGAAGCCGGGAACTTCTGCCTTCCTGACTTTCCTGTCCCTGGGTCCCTTTCTGCCGATGGTCACCGGGGCGACGTGGTCCTCTCCATAGAGAAATAAGACCTTGCTCAGTGGGCGGGAAGGTGTCTAATCCCTTGTCTAATTGTTGAGACTAGCCCTGGGTCTTGCATATGAAGACCAGGATGGTAGAAAAAACGTCTCCACGGGACCACTCTAAACCGCTCCTGTGTACCCAGGCCCTTTGCCCTCTGACTCTACAGCTCTGCCCATCCAAGAGAGAAAAAAGAGTGGCTCTCCCCATCCTTTGTAATCCTCTGATTCCAACCAAGTGTCTTTCATCCAGCACGAGGGCCATTAGCAGGTGCGAGCTGACCTGAAGCATGGAAAGGCCCCCGTTTGGTTACACTTGTGCCCCCACACCTCCTGCATCGCTAGGCTGAGAAACGCAGGGAGCGCCCAGTCTCCCCCAGATCCGCTGACTGCCCGCTGCACCCTAGTCAAGGTGAGCTGAGCCATCTACCTAACCACCTCAGAAACACTTCGCGCCCCCAAGGCCCCACGGTGCTTTGTTACACAGCGTTGTTGTGGCAACAGATAACGGACTCGGTGGGGTGCACAAGTGTTTCCGATGATGGAGCAGCTGGGCCTGCAGAGAGGCCAGTATGGGGCATGAAACAGCAAGAGTGCTGCCCTCCTCCTGTGCTTACCGCTCAGTTAAAAATCACAGGGCGAGTGACCGCTTGCTACTGCCGGCTTGGCCCAATGCTAAGACTCCAGCCTCGTGGGTTTAGGAAGGAAAGCATGTCTCTCATAGGGCTTCCCTGGCCCATTTTTCAAAAGCCCATTTGGAGGAATCCGTTCGTGCTTTCTAAGTTTCTCTGCCATTCCCATTTTGTTCATCCCCCTTAAACGCTTCCTTTGGCTCTGGAAAGACTCCCAGGTAGCTGGTGGCCCTTGCTGAAGGGCAGGTGTGTGTTGTGGCTGCCCGCGGGGGAAGACTGTCGGCGGAGGGCATCTGCAGCAATGGCGCTGGGATGGCAGGACCCTTCTGCTTCGCAGACTAGAAAGTGGGCTTACTTGACACCAAGGCATGGTGATGGAGGCTCCAAGCACCAAACCGTAGCAGAGACCTTCTGCCTCCCCAGGGCTGGGGAGGGAGCTCTGGGTGCGGACTGTCCACCCCCCCGCACCCCCGGGGGGAGAGGGCCCGGTTACTTACTGTGGACTGGTCATGTTGGAAGGCACAGTCAGAGCCACGGGTGTCCTTGGGGTCTAGTGCGGCTCGGCTCGCCTGAAGCCTGCCGCCGTCAGCATTGCCAGGACGCTCGGGTTGGCCAAGACACATGCAAACATGGGCCCTGCAGACAAGGGATGAAACCGTAGATGTTTATTACCCTCAGGAGCCCAAACCACAAGCCCCCCCTGAGCTCATCTGAAAATGTAGGTTCTCAGAACTTTCTTCTACACGGCCTTTTTCTCCAAAGCGTTGGTGAACCGATTCGTAGGGTGACTCTCTGTGGGGGTAACAGTAGGGTTCCCTTCTATAGCAGCGGTTCTCCAACTTCCTAATTCCATGACCCTTTCATTCAGTTCCTCGTGTTGTGGTGACCGCCCCCCAACCATAAAATTATTGATGTCGCTACTTCCTAACTGTCATTTTGCTACTGTTACGAATCGTCATGTAACTACCTGATATGCAGGATGTATTTTCACTGTTACAAATAGACCATCGTTAAACCTAATTACGCGGAGTGGTGAATCACAAAACAATATGTAATTATAGATTGTGAAATATGTATGTGTTTGCCGATGGTCTTAGGCGACCCCTGTGAAAGGGTCGTTCGACCCCCAAAGGGGTCAGGACCCACAGGTTGAGAACCGCTGTTCTACAGGGTTAACTGGAACACAGGCCCGGTGTGGCCAAGTGACTTTCGATGCCACGTAGGGTCCCCAGAGGGCGGAAGAGCAGGCTCAGACCCCAGGTTTTCCTGATTCTGTCGCCACAGCTCATTCCACGCGAGAGCGGTGCCCAAGGACTGGAGGGAAACGTCACCTTTCCATCTTCAGCCAGGGCCCATCGAGTCCCTTCCAGCTCCTGGTAACCCGTGTGCCAGAGCAGAATTGTCCCCCACAAGGTTTTCAGGAGGTCTGCAGACCTTTCTTCCAGTATACGTCTGTGCAGACTCAGAAATCACTTGCAGTCTTTGCCTCAAACATCTCAGGTGTACCCCCAGTTTCTTCCTGCCTCCTACTTGGCTCTCTCCTCTGGGCGGTCCCCCGGGCCTCATCTCCTTCTCCTCTCCATCAGGTCTCTCCGTGAGGTCGTTCAGCACGGCAGAGGGGTCCCAAGGTTGACCTTGGAGCCAGCCTGCCTGGATTGACGAGTCTGGCTTCACTGACTAGCCCAGCGACCTTGGGTAAGCTACTTAAGCGTTCTGTCCTCAGTTTCCCCACCTATCGATGGACGGCATGAGATAAGGCACGTAAGACATTTGGAACCATCCCTAGCACAGAAGAGGCCCTGCATGATGTCTGACGTTTGTGCTCATACTTCTCATTTCATAAATGAAAATTACACTGGCTACTGAACCAGACCGAAGGCATTTGGATGGCTGGGTTTAAGATGTCTTAAAATCTGGACTAGATAAATAGAATGTCGTTTCTTTTTTAGTGTGGGAAAGTGTAATAACTTAGAATTTGCCACTTTTAAAAACCTAAAAGTGAGTCATTCCATGGCATTAAGTACATTTACCACCACTATTTATAAGTTCACCTACAGATTTCATATGAATGGAATAGTACAGCACACATACACACACACACAGACAAAGAAGGCTTTTTTCTTTTCCGTGGTTGTGTTGTGGCCTGGCTGCTTTACTTGGCATGTTGGCAAGGTCCGGCCACGTGGTAGGAAGTACCACACTTCCATTCCTTTTCACGGCTGGCTACCTGTCCATGTGTGTCTATCCCATGTTTTGTCTGTCCAGGCACCCACACGTGTACATCGGGATGGCTTCTACCTTTGCCCACTGGAAACAGCGCCCTACAGACATCCACGCACGAGCTTTGGTTTGAGCACCTGCCTTCCATTCTTTGGGGGTACGGAGTGAGGAAAGGATGCGCTGGGTCATCTGGCAATTCTAAGCTTAGCGTGCTGAGAAGCCATCAAACTAGAAAGGATCTTTATGGAAGCCAGCGCTCAATGCCACCTGGAAGTCTTGTGGGAGACAGTACAATCCAGCAGAAGGTACACACAGATGCAGACCAGGGTCCTGGGGGCTTGTGAACAAGTTACTAAGGGGCTACTCAAAGGGGCAATGCAATCCTTTTGAAAGGATTGTTGCATTCTGTTACAAATGGCTTTTCCTGCCAGAAACCAAGGCGGGGTAAGATAACAACCCCCCACCCCCACCCCACTGCCATTCAGCCCCCAGTCCTAAAGCAATTCCAACCCTGTGGGAGGCAGTTGAAGGAGCGATACACGCTGAATACGGAAGAGGGAAGAAGCATCGATGTGTTTGGATCGTGGTGCTGGCCAAGAACATTGAAAGTACCCTGGGCTGCCCGAAGAGCCAACATGCTCCCTAGCGGCAAGGATGGTGGGACTTCGTCTCCCGTACTTTGGACCTGTTGTCAGGCGAGGCCAGTCCCTAGAGAAGGGCATCAGGTAAGGTAGAAGGGACGGTGACATAGACAGGTCGGACTGACACAGTGGCTGCGACCGTGGGCTCACACGTGGGAAGATTATGAGGATGGCAGAGGCCCAAGCCATGTCCTGTGTGCACAGGGCGCTCTGGGTCAGAACCGCCACGAGGGCCGCCACCAATGACGACTCCCAGGGCCACGGAGCGACTCCGACTCCCGAGCTGTGCCGCTCAGTTTTCCTGGCTGGCCGGCATTTGAGAAGGACACGCCAGACCTTTCTTCAGAGGCACCGCGGGGTGGGCTCAGACCTTTCGGCGAGTAGCCAAGTGTGTGCACTGTGTGCTCTCCTTAGGATCTCAGGGAGCGGTCATCCCTGAGTAGGCTGGAAAGGTACCCTGTTTGAAAGAGAGAAGGGAGCCCTGGTGCTATGACAGGCGATGGGTGAGCAGGCACCTGTCCGAGGCTTGGCCCCCGCAGCCCCTCACTGGCCGGGAGGAAAGGCCCGGTGGTGTGCCCCGCATGCCTGAGCACCCTGCAGGCAGCTCCCCTCGCAGAAGTGGGTGCACGGCAGCACGCAGACTCTTTGGTCTCTGTTCCGATGGAGAACCAGACAGGCTGGCCCTTTGCTTATTGTTTGGTTTTAAAAATAATGAATTTGTATTTTGTTACCCCCTAAAGGCCATCAGCAAAAAGTTTTAAAATCAGTTTTAAAAACGTTCAACTTCAGTGCCATAGATATCAATGACTGGCTCCGTATGTATTGGGGGGGGCAGACTCCCTGGAAAGAGGGGGCAGTGGTTTCTTGGAAAGGAGATTGGGGGGCGGGCGAGAGGGCTGTGATGGCATCTCCAGCACAAGGGCAAAGGTAAGGGAGCGAGAGGACAAATGGACACCTGGACAGACAGTGGGGCAGGTGCCTCAGCCAGAGCGGCTGATCCCCAGCCAGCAGCACATTTTCAAAGGGAAGGGCCTTGGCGTTGGAGGCATGACTCAGGCTGTATGTTATTTTAAAATAATATTTCCGAAACAAAATACACCCCCTCCCTCCGAAAGCATGAGCCTAGCAAGAGGCAGGTGTAGTCTAGCACTCTATAAATGAACATCTGAAGTGCAAACCTGCTGTCTTATAAACCTGGTAGAAGTAGAAGAGAAAACCTGATTTGGATTTACCGGGGGCGGGGAGCGGCTTTTCAGACGTCCCTAAAACCCCATTCGCTCCCACTTGTTGCTCGCCAAGTCTATGTATTTTGCAACACCGGACTTGCTTATTCCAGCCAGAGCTGCAAAGTTCAACCTTGCTAAGCTGCCATCCCAGGAATGGTAGCGCGAAGGTACCTTCTAAGACCAAGCCATGGCCGGGGTGGGGTGAGAGGGTGGAGGCGGTTCATGCGATCAGCTGCTAAGTGAAGGGGTAGAAGGTCAAGTCCACCCAGAGGCACCTGGGAAGAAAGGCCTGGTGCGTTACTTCCCCCCCCAAAACCCCGAAGGAGCAAGCTCCATCCTGACATGCATCAACACGTTCATTCCATCCTTGAGTCACAGCCGCAGGGACAGGGCTTCCCTGGCCATCACAGTGGGTCTCACGGCTGGCCTTACTACTCATCTGGGGGACGTTTGGGGAAGTACATACTCCTAGGCCACACTGCAGAAATGCTGAATCAGAACTCCACAGGCGGACGTCAGCATCTTTGTTTAAGTGCCCAGTGTTTCTGACTTCCAGCCATCTACAACCCCTCATGACGCTGAGTGTTCTCCAACTTTCAAAGGTCTCAGGAACAGAGCTTGCAGCGCCCTACCCCTGGAGTTTCCGCTTCAGTTGTGTGTGTGTGTGTGTGTGTGTGTGTGTGAGAGAGAGAGAGAGAGAGAGAGAGAGAGAGAGAGAGAGAGAGAGAGAGAGAGAGAGAGAGAGAGGGAGAGAGAGAGAGAATTCTGCATTTCTAACAAATCCCCTGGGCTGAGAAGAACTAGAGACCCAGAGGCCGGGCCTATTCGTCAGAAATACCTTGGTTAACAAGGTCACTAAGAGTTACAACGGTCAAAAAGTGTTAGCTCTTGGTAGATGTGCTGTTGTTGGTAGAGCCCTTGAGTAAATTACTGCCCCCCACCCCCACCCCTAGGCTGTCGTGGGGACCATCTTTATGGGAGTGGATCAGCGGATGTTTCTCACACCTGGCTGGGTGGGTCCCAACCAAACCCCTTTGGTTAGCAGCCGGGGGCAGAAATCCCACTGCCTCAAGCCAGTTCTGACTCAGAGCGACCCCCGGGGTTTCCAAGGCTCTTGCGTCTTGATAGGAGCAGCAGACTGCCCTGTCTTCCCCCCAGAGAGCAGCTGGGGTGTTCGAACTGCTGACGTTTCGATGAGCAGTTTAGTGCTTAACCACTGAGCCAGCAGGGTACCTTCCCTGAGGTAGAGTGTATTTATTTATTTACTTATTTTTAAAATTGTTTTATTAGGGGCTCATACAACTCTTATCATAATCCATACACACATCAAGTGTGTCAAGCACATTTGTACATTCATTGCCCTCATCATTCTCAAACCATTTGCTCTCCACCTAAGCCCCTGGCATCAGCTCCTCGTTTTTTCCCCTCCCTCCCCGCTTCCCCCTCCCTCATGAACCCTTGATAATTTATAAATT